TAACCACCTGGCCATGCCGGGCCAACAGAAATAAGATAAAGTCATAAGACGTTATCACAAGGTTATCCCTTAAGTTACAGTAATAAAAAACCTATGTTCTGATATTGAGGAGCCAATGGTGTCTAGTAAGGATGAAAGAATGTTATCCACTTTGAAGTGTTTTTGCGATAATCGATAACAAAAAAATTATTTTGATGGTAAATATATGTACAACGTGGAGCCTGTTGCTGCTCGAGTGTCTATTTTCGTCAGTAAAAATAAAAATAAACAGTAACCTGAGTTTGATGGCAGCCTCGAGGTGTCATGCTGAGACCGTCAGTATATGCGGCCAAGAGTTTATAAAATTTAGAAAAGTATTGTGATAATCAGAGTTTCCATTGTATACTATACAGAGTCACAAAAACAACTTATGTTCAATCTACACTAAATGTACGATGACTTTCTTGAGTTATGAGAACGTCCAAATGCATAACAATAAGACTGATAATATTCATTTACAAATCTTTCTTTACTGACTTTTACTACAGCTCTCCAATGAGATGTAACAACAACTTAATTGATAAAAAAATATCTTCATTGCTGATAATTATAAACACAACGTTATATAAAATATTAATTTTAAGATGCTGGTTGTTAATATAAAGTTGATGTCATGCTGATCAACATCACCCTCTAGTGGTTCGATCGTGAACTATCTGCACTCTCATCGTACGAACATTCCTTCGGATATTACTTTGTGGAACAATGACTCATTGCAACACTCTCTCTGTTGGGTAGCATTCGAACCATGACATCACGTGATATCTCCTAACAATGCACTCCATCGTCAAGTGTCATGGCGGCCTAGAATGTGGCCTCTAGCAACGTCCCTTCTGGTTCCACTTGTGGAACTATGGCGTCAACGTCTCTACTCCTTCCCCCTGAGACAGCCAATCAGCATGCAGTGGCTGAACAGCCCCCTCACTATTGGTATTTAATTTAAATAACTCATAAAAAGAATCGACAAACCTACAATCATCAGGGGTTCGAAAATTTGATAGATGGGTGAGTTGGCTGTGTAACGCAATGCAATTAAATAAATAAGCTGGATCAACTACCAGAGCTCACAAATGACAAAGCTGGCTTTTATTTAGCACTAAGTATCCTGAGATCACCTTTTTTCAATTTGACAATAGAATGAAACAACAATTACAGGTTCAAAGGAATTTTAAAAACTTAGCAAAACATGATATAGAGATATCAAGTTTATGGTCTGATTGCCACATTATTACAGTCTTGTTTCCCACAATTCTGTTAATGGGTTGACATATACACGATGCTCCATTTTCTTGTCGTGTAAAACATAGATACAAAAACAAACTTTTATTCATTGTTTTACTTTCTTATTATAGTATTGAAAAGTTTCCAAAGGCACATACCTACAATGAAACAAAATGAATTCTTAATATGATAAACCAATTCAGAAGTTTTAGCAAAATTGTTAATTAGTGCTTGATATTTAATGGCTGAGTTTGGTCAGTGTAAAATGGTTGAAAACAGAAAACTTGTGAAAGTTTATTCATCGGGACTAAGCATAATCACAGTTAGTTAAAAAGTTTTAGCTTCTTTCAGGCAACAGAAGAAAGTCATAAAGACATTTCACTTTTTCATGGAATCTTCCTCAGTTGTCAAAATAGAATCGAACCTATGTTGGACTTCAAATTATTTAAACAGAGGTTACATGTAATAAAGGACGTTATTGTTTTTGTTGACCATCTGCTAATAAGTGTTCATATCAAGAGAAGACAAAAAGGAAAAATGGCTTCAGTATCGGAAAATAGCCAAATATATCTATTCTCTTTAAATGTGACCGACCTCCCACGAGCAGGAGTTACATCAATGTTTATTGCACAAGATCCTATCTTATTGCCCAGTGGAATGTTTCATTTTTCAGAGTAACTCTATCCCTGAATCTCCAATCCTATCAATCAACTAACTATGACCCCAAGATCCCCAGTTACTCTCTTAATAGGAAGAGTGCATGTTACTTAAAATTTGTTTAGTTTTTGTATATACTACTAGCATGACATGAGTATCCTATATTGACTGAGTGAAATATGCAGGCAAAGCATATGTTTCCTACGTGCTTTTAGTAATATAGAAATTCTAAAACGTTTTCGTTTATCTTGTTGCTACGCAATTTTACCATAACCACATGGTCCAGTAAACTATTGACGCTTGCACTGTTCTAGTTCCTTTCGATGTTGTTCTCTGTAGTGGCTATCTATTGTGCCAGAATGGCCGAGTGAGTGACGTCTATATGTTACAGCAGGCGAATGTTGTGAGGGAACGACAGTCATGTGGTGATATCCTTGAAAGAGAAAAGATATAAGTTTTTTTCGAAGATCAAAGCATTTATTTTTTCTCTGAGTTTGGTTCAACAAAGACCCGACTTTAGAGAAAGAGAGCTGCCGAGTTAGACAACTATCCAGTAGAAACGACTGTCCACTTGTTTGTGCTAGTATATACGCCGAATTTTAATTTTTATGATAAAAAGTGAGTTCATTTTCTATCAATCTTATCCAGTTTGTTTATTTTCTTACACAAATTTATATCTCAGTCAAGTTTTCGAACATAGATTCCCTGTTTGATATTGTTGTTAAAATTAACATGGTAATCTTGGAAAATCGGTTTTACCTAAGAATACGACATAAATCAGAGTTTTGTTGTTTTATTTACTGTTATAGGCCAACCGATGTAACACTGCCTTTGACAGATTCTGGTCTGCCAGATGATCCAAAACAATGGGGAAGCATTCAACTTACTTTGACGCTCATCCCAAAGACCCAGATGGACAAAGAACAGGTAAAAAACATTGTATGAAAAATCTACAACTTCAAAGCTAATGCACATATTAATAAGCATCTTAAATATGTGTGCAAAATATCATGATCAATATAACTATTGCAAAGTCACTCTTTTGTATTTATGACATTTCAAAACTATTACACGTGATACTGTGGTATCTCTCGGATGATTATCAAAAAGAGAAGTTAGGCCCGCTAATAATAGGAGACTCACTGACCTCGTTTTAAGATGTATTCCCACTCGAATCGCAACAAATGGATCACGAGAAAAAGAGATGGAATGCAAGCTCACACAAATAGCAGATATTTAATGACAATCACAATTTACAATAAGATAAACAATACAATACAGAGTAACACAATACAACGGGTAAATGTTTGTGTGCTGTGTGTTTAAAAGACTACCAAGATTCACAATGAAACTTTTAATAGAATAATCCTTTTGTTAGTAAATGTGTTTCCCCTTGTAAATTAAACTAAAATGAAAGTGAAACCACTATATAAAAATAACCATAAGTTAAACTGAAATAAAATCACTATAAAGAAAAATGTAGTAGTGTAAATTACAAGTTACTCTTCGATTTTACTAATTCACTTTCCTTTAAGGCTCAAACTCCCACAAAGATAAGAATCTATTGTGCTCCTGGCACTAAATCTTAAGTTCAATTTTTGTGACTGCTGAAAACGAAGAACACTTAAGGGCTGTAAGCACTCCTACTTTAAAAACAAAAGTGTGAATGTAATATAGAAGAACGGCAGAAACTGAAATATTTCAGATAGATACTTACGGAAAGCAAAGAAACTTTAAGTGTAGGAAATAACTGCACACATGGATATTTCTACACACGCCAAACACTGCACAGTTTTTCTCTCTCAAAAATAAACGCGGCTTTAAATATGCTAATAAACTCTCTAATCTTCAGCATAGACAACAAATGATGTAACCAAGAGTTATTCTACCTGCAACTATTATCTGATTTGTCAACAAGAATAACTCAGCTCACTAATTAATTGCTTTGTTATTCCCGTAAAAGATTGGTTTGTTGTGAATTTCGCGCAAACCTACACGAGGGTCATCTGCGCTAGCCGTCCCTAATTTAGCAGTGATCACCACCCACCGCCAACTCTTGGGTTACTCTTTTACTAACGAATAGTGGGATTGGTGGAACGGGGATTCGAACCCGCAACCCTCACATTGCAAGTCGAGCTCCCTAACTACCTGTCCATGCCAGGTGCCCCGTAAAAGAACCAGAAAAATTAGTTTTGGCTTCTACCTAGAACCCCGTTTGTCACTTCTATAAAGTTAAAATTAGTAACTCACTTGATTTATTTGTTTGTAGTTAAGAACAAAGCTACACAATGGGATATCTGTGTTTTTCTCACCACGGATATAGAAACCCTGTTTTTAGCGTAAAAAGTCCGCAGACACACTCTGTTTCATAGGGGGCCAGCTCGCTTGAGTTCCTCAGTGCGTCCAAAAGGGAAGCTACGAAAAACATCATAACTTAAAGATTTTTACTTTTTTAACTAAAGAGAAGAGAACATATAATATGTTCTCATACTACACGAGAAAATAGCTTTCATATATGTCTATTGTAATATAGTTAATGAAAAGTCACTTTTACATAAGTGCACCGTTCCAGAACTAATATAGCCTAGCATGGCCTGGTGGTTAAGGCACTCGACTTGCAATCTGAGAATCGAGAGATCGAGTCCCTTCCCCGAAAATGCTCGTCCTTTCATCTGTGAGGGCGTTATAAAGTGACGGTCCGTCCCACTATTCGTTGATAATAACTAGCCCAAGAGTTAGCGGTGAGTGGTATTAACTAACTACCTTTTTCTAATCTATCATTTCAAAATTAGGAACTGCTAGCGCAGATAGTCCTCGAGTAGCTTTGAGCGAAATTCAAAACAAACAAACTGTTGAAGCTGAGTATTAGGCCTTAAGATTCCCTAAAGGGCCAAAATAAATTTCCTGCTTTGACTAAAACGTGAAATATGTCTGTCACATGATAAACGGCATTGCTCAATGTTAATTGATAACAAAGGTGATCTTTCTAATAATTAAATTTAAAAAATGTCATCGAAATAGAACAAGAAAGAAATTTACTATGTAGTTATTTTTATGTAAGATATCATTACTTTTTATGTAAGATATCATTACAATGCATCTTTTAAATTTTATCGTATGTTAAACGTGAATAATTTTGACTGTTACAGATTTTTTGAAATTCTAACTGCTTTAAAATATAACTACTTGCTGTTGAATAAAATTTTTGTTTTTGTATGGATTGTAAATACCATATCGATTGCTTCATTAAGACAACATTAATAGTTCAGTTTTAGTGTTAATGATAAAGTTTTCCCTGTTATACGACAACAGATTACCAATACATATATATATAATACTAAATCCTATGTCAGTTTAGAATATTTTTGTTATACGTGTAGAAGAGTATACTTTGCTCTAGTCAACCAATTAACTTCATATATGTGTATTAGCTTTAGGTACTATAGTTTTAACCATTTCAAAACATTAAATAAGAATGTCTATATTTAGATATGTTCAGATTAACTTCATATATGTGTATTAGCTTTAGATACTATAGTTTTAACCATTTCAAAACATTAAATAAGAATGTCTATATTTAGATATATTCAGATTAACTTCATATATGTGTATTAGCTTTAGATACTATAGTTTTAACCATTTCAAAACATTAAATAAGAATGTCTATATTTAGATATATTCAGATTAACTTCATATATATGTATTAGCTTTAGATACTATAGTTTTAACCATTTCAAAACTTTAAATAAGAATGTCTATATTTAGATATATTCAGAGATAATTTTAGCGTAATTCTTTTCACTTAAATAAAACCCTTTGAATAACGCTTGGTCAACTTTAGTTTAATCCTATAATCAGGCAGGTTGTATACGACAAATGTGAAACAGCTTACTAGTGCTTTCTTCCATGACGCATTGTTTGTGATTGGCTTATGTACAATTTAGATATTTCTTTGTCAGTATAGTTGGTGCATGAGATATTTTCCATAGGTTGTGATTGGTTGATCTCTGGGATTGTAAACTAAGCTGTAGAAAAAAAGACCATGTTTACATGCCTTTGACTTTATTGTGTGAAAAAATATATATTCCACAAAAACTACCAGTCTTTGCTTCCCAAACAACAGTGAGCGTTGTTATTCAACAGATAAAATAACGTTTTTCTTCTTCCGTTTTTCTAATGAAATTTTCACTTAACTATTATCTTAAAATATTTCCTTTGAATGTATTGTTATTGTAAAAAGGAAAGAAAAACTTGTGATATTATACTGGTAAAAAAGGTATGAAATGAGGATTTCTCGCTAGAATGGATTCGCTCTTTTAGTATCGTATATATGTCTATAAACTTCAATTATAATGTGTTAACTATTAACTTACTGAAGAGCAAACGTTTGTTCTTGGTTTGTTACGGGGTATGGGTGATTGTTTTGTAGCCAACTGAAATAATTATACAATTATTTCATTATATATCTCGACAGCAGTGCACTGAAACGAACGTTTTGCCCTTCGTGCAAGTTTTAATGCACTATTTAAAAAAATTGAAAGAATCGTGCTTTTTTTAAGTTTTAATTTCTGAAAAAAGCCAACAGGTTTTAGATTAGAGACACAGTTTACAACGGTAAGAAGACATTTAGGAATACCTTTAACCTTGTTAAACAAGACATACTGTAATAATTTGATTACTCATTTTCCAAGACAGTTTTTGTTAGTAAATGATAAATGTAGCGTTATTGTAGTTAATATTCATATGCCACAGAGAAACGCTGGCCAACGACTTTGGAAAAAAAAGTGTCATCCGCGTCTAATCCCCGCTACATTATCCCTAACCTACTGTATTTGAATTCTATAAAATAGTATTCTAGTAACTAGCATAAATAAACCTGGTATTATTTAAAACTGAATGAAAACTTGGCGAAGTATTTATTTAACCATAGTAACAATAAAGAATAGATAAGGTAAATAAGTAAAAATGAGTTTGTTTGTGTTTTTTAGCATTTCCATGCAAAGCTATAACGAAGTTTAACTGCGCACATCCATCTCACACTTTTAGGTAACATACTAGAATGAAGGCAGCTAGTCTGCGTAAATCCATCCCACACTTTTAGGTAATAAACTAGAATGAAGGCAGCTAGTCAATAGCACCCACTGCCAACTATTGGGCTAGTCTTGTCTAAGAGAATAATGGGACTTAACCATTTCAATTTTATTGGATCCACAATCCCAAAGCGAGAGCTCTTTTTTGTGGCAACAGGACACCAACCTCAATCTATGAATCACAATCGGTGCACAATAAACACTAGCCACACCACACCCTTGTAAAATAATATGCGAGCACAAGAAATAATTCACAAACTCTACGCACAGCAAAAATATACAAACAATTGCAGCTATATACAATGTGATAAATCCTGAAAATACAAAAAATTATTAAGAAACCCATAAAAGCAAAAGAACTCAAAATCACCGCTTCAGCCAAACGACCTGCATTTGGACTGATGTCATTTGGCCGAAACCCTTTCACTTCATTTTTTCTTACTTCAATTTTTAACCTTTTCATTGTATTTTCAGGGTTTATGGTGAAATATGTACAGAAATATTATTCGAAACACAAAGAGATGTTATTATAGAAGCCATCAACTTCAAGTAAGCCAGAAACATAATGATAAGATAGTCATAATCATTTTAAGAGACATTAATGAGATTTGTACAAATAGCATAAGTTTGGGTTTAACTCCCTTCAATATATATATAATGGGAATGGCCGTTGACGTAGATAATCTACGATTGTGGGATACTGAGACTTTCGCCGGACTTTACAGTTTGGTATCATTATTCTTCTGACGTGCTTTATCTACCTTCTGTAACTAAGGAGTTTATAATAATGAACACTGAGGCCATCCAGTAGCGGTAATGACTTCATCATATCTCCAC